TCTGGTGGTTGAGTGTGTATGTCAGTGTTTGCAGCTCTCTAAGTATTTCATCTTTTCTTCACAGGGAGGACGGCAAGTGCGTGCCATTCGTGGACGGTTCGGTTTAGTTGAGCCAAAGGCTTTCACCAGTTAATAGCACGAAATTGTGTCTCCCCCAAAAAAGAAATCAAAGGTAAACCAGGAGCAAACTCAATGGATCTGTGCGACCTCATCTACGTTTAGCAGTTCCTCCTCAATTAATGAAAAAATCTAAAATCGAATTCAAGTGTGCCGTGTTCATAAATATTTGTATCAATTCTTTTATTTGTTGGAACTGTTCCAATCTATAAAACCTGGAATTATTCCCATCTATATAGACAGGCGGTTCTTTGATTGTATAAAGAAAAGAAACCTCGAAGAGATATAAAGAAAAGATATGAAGAGACTTCTAGTTTTTATATATTCCATATGGCTGTGATATCTGTCTTTATATAAACATCTTTTTATATAAAATATAATATAATTTTATTAGATTTGCTTATTTACAAAGAACAAAATGATATGTGTTTTCCCGGAATTTATGGCCGCCTTTGAATGTTTATATCAAATTAAAATTCTCACGCGCCGTATAAAAACAGACTTTCACATATTTTCCTGTATATATTTGCAACCTTTGTCGTCTGGCTTCCTTCCAAACGTATATTAAAAACAATATTTCTTTCAGCAAAACCAATCAATATGAGCGAAGCAAAGAACCTCATGACCACCTTCGGCATCCTGGCCTTCCTGCTCTTCTGCCTGTACCTCATCTATGCAGTATTGTAGACACACAGGGCCCACTAGGAGGTCCTTAGAGCGGGAATATGGGGTAAGAATTGTGATGAAATGGCTGCTGTAGTGTCCTACTGGACGAATTTAAGTGGGAAATATTTATTAACTTTAAGTCGGGAACTCTGTGCTGAACTCACGACTCTTTGGTTAGAAGACTTTCTGTGGTTGAAGGATTCTCACCTAATAATTATATAGATAGATCTCAATCCGGGAATAACATTCCAGATTAAATCGCTGTTGGTATTTTTAAGTTAGAAAATAAATTTCTTAGTTTTTTAATAGCCCGCGAGTCCCTGAAACGACTTCTCCATTGCCATAATAATTATATGAAATGAACATTCGTCTAACAAACATCAAAAACAACACCATATTGGTGCTAGTTTCGAAAATAATTTCAGTTTCTATATGCAAGAATCCAATTAGCCAAAAATCAATATCAATCAATTCAATCAACAATCAAACTCATTAAGACCAAAAATTGTGCATAAACTCAATGAGGGCACCGTGACCGTGATTTGTAATGTTTGATGTGGAATGAGAAATTTCAAGATTTCATCAATATTTGGATACATTGCGGCAGCAAACAAGCGAATCCATTCGATGGTTGAAAGTAAATACAAATATATATCTTGAGGCAACAAACAGGCTGCTGGAGAAAATGCCGCTCTCTGCCCACCGATAGATTACGTCCTCCATGAACCACAGAAAAATAAACAAAATTATTTGGAAAATGTTTTCAAATGACAAGGTCCACGAATCATATTCTGAGAGAGAAGCCAATTTGTCCAGTAAATGAATAATTGCTGAATGAGAGACAGAGAGAGAGAGAGAGAGAGACATAGATGAAGTTAAATCCCATGGAATCCAAGCGTATATATCTTGAATATGTACCAAACTATAAGCTAAATATATGTATACGTACCCGCTGCTGTGGGTGCATAAAAATGTGGGAAATATTTGTGCCGCAGCGAAGAAAATATGAGCAACAACTGGACACCCATACAAGCCCGATCAAAATATCTGAATATATGCATGTTTTATATATATCTTTGAATATACTCTACATATAATCCATTCTATGGGCGTGCGTGTGTCTTCTGGTAGAGCAATAGTTCCAAGCGCTGGCCAACATTTTGTGGAGAAGCGGATTCAGATCCGAAAATTCAGAGTCTCAGTTATTGCGTGCCTTTAGCTACGAACGGTTGGACCAGTCGCCCAATAAAATTAGCTATACCCCTAAAAGTGTGTGTTTTTGTGTGCCAATAGGATTGCATTTTAACTCAATTAATTCCACATTTTTTCCCATTGTAATCATCAGAAACCAACAACAACAACAACAACCCAATCAAAATGAATGAGGCCAGAAGTTTGTTCACCACCTTCCTGATCCTGGCCTTTTTGCTGTTCCTGCTCTATGCCTTCTACGAAGCCGCATTCTAAACAACCCACCCCACCCACCCATCAACCCAATCAATCATCAATAAATCAAGGATAGCTTACATGTTGAATTTCAATTCCAAGCCAAATCAATGAACAACTTGTGGCCTAGGAGGAGTTTTAGGACCTTACGCGTTTAAGATGTTAGCATTTAATGGATTTCTACTAGTAACCTAAGCCAGGTGAGTCCCATCTTAGTAAGTGCTGCGCCTAATTAAGTCAATTACGCCCACGCAAGTCGAATAAAAAATCGTTCGAAATGCCAAGCGGACAGAGGGAGAAACCTTGAGAGAACCTCAAGCGATCGTTGAAAATTTCTTGGCAGCCGCCGTTTGGCACTGGCAGCTCGATAATAATTTCCAAAAAGAATAAATAGATTTCCTTGTTCTATTTTTTAACGACAACATTTCGACATGGCCCACTAAACACCTTCCTGCCCCACTCAACCTCTCGCTTCCCCTGAGACACATTAAAAATCGTTTTCACACTGAATTCTTCCAAATGTTTCACTCTGATATTTCGCAATTTTGTGCTTCAAATCTTGCCTGAAATTTCCTCAATGCGACAGAAGCATAAAAATGTTCAAAGACATTTTTTATGGTCAGAATTTATGATACGCTGAAGGTGGAAAATTATAATTAATTTTTATTAAATATTTCCCAAACTTTGTTGCGATGGCAAAAATGCAATATTCAGCGAAAATTAATACAGAAAAGAGACCAAATCCCTCAATGAATTATCTTGAACTAAAAATAAACCTTGAAGAGATTATGGCCATTGTTTATGCCAATTCGACCACTTGAATAAACAAAACGCAAATCAAAGGCGAAAGTAAAAGCGAAAATATATTTAAGTCCCAAAACCGTTTTCAATTGCAAACAATCTTTCAATCTGTGAGTTATGGTACACCCAATGTACATACATACATGTGTAGTATTTAACAAAATAATTCCCACATTGCAGATGACGTCAAAGCCACCAGCTGCCCCATGTCAGGCCCCTCGATTAGTTTAGCACGGTTCTCAGGGGGCTCGGCAACATCAGCATTATCATTATGATGATGTATGGTCCACCCATGCTGAGAGGTAAGTACCAGTGAATGCAATTTCCCGCCGATTCGGCTCACTTATGGACAAATAATTTTGTATTTTTTTTTTAGAGCTGCGCAACAGCGATCCCTTCTCAAGGCTCTGGCGGCCACGGCGTCATTTGTTCTAATCATAAATTTTATTTTATGATTTCTTTTTCGTTTACGTTTTGCAATGAGATTGACTTAATTTACAATTTATAGACCATGATGTACAGTAAATGCCAACGACAACAGCAACAGCAACAGCAGCAAGAACAACAGCAACAACCATCAATAAGAACATTCAAGAATTTTGTTATAATTTCATTGCTTAGCCACAAATTTATTTTGCATTCGTATTTAGTAAGACTTACATAATTGTATAACTGCATTTTACTGGACTTTGATTTAATTTATTGTCAATAACAAACGTATGCAACAAAACAACAAAAGCAACAACAACAGCAACCTACTGCAGGAATAAAAGCAAAACCTAGAAACAAAGGAAAGAAAATGTTTTATTATTTGTGACCAAAGAAAGATCGTTTCCAAGATCGAGTGAGAGAAATATTCTTTTGAAAGTAAGGAGCCTGGAGACTTTTTTGTTCAGATTCACACATATGTATGTATTTATGTATGTAAATCCAGACATTTTTACATACGGACCGGACCATACGAAAAAGCTGAACAAAACAGCATATTTTTGGGGGCGCAGCTATAATTATTGTCATTTTTTGAATGCAAGCAAAACGTTGCCAACATCTTCAGTACTTGAGTCAAAAACTGAATTAAACCTGGATATTATTTTTGAGCCATGCCTTTTTATCAATCAATCAAGAAAACATTTTGTATTATTTTTCCAAGTAATTCAATAAGCCAGTACCAAGTTCTGCTGGTGGTTCCCCATGACACAATAATCGGCAACTTACATTGTTAAATCCCCTCGGGTCATAATTGTGGGCAGTTCCTCAAAAAGATCAATGAGTGGCTTCCCTTTGAACCACCCGAAACTTATTTGCATGCAACATTGAAGCCTAAATTTCTGCTAAAAAAGGTTACAATGAAAAAATGCACAAAAAATAAACACAAAGCGTAGCACAAAGTGGATGCAATGAAGCGAAGCCAGCGTCATCTCTGGGCTTTTTGGAGGCTTCCTCGCTTCCGTCTGCTGTAGGCTCTATACCGCTTTGTCGGTCAGTAGTTTCGCACTCGTGCTGGCCAACCGGTTTGAACGACCCACTGATCACCCCCAGCTTTTCAGCAAAACAAAATTGCATTGGTTATGCAATCCAAAAGAGTTTTTATCCGCATGTACGATCCGTAGCTCCATGCATTTTGGCAATTGATTTGGCCAGCCGGTTTTTTCACTTCTCTTCTTTTACCACAAGCAACATCGCAGACGGTGGGTATGCAGATTTTTTAAAACATCTTTCAGCGGTTTTATGCCACTTTAGTAATGGCGAATTTTATGCATTTTTTATTTCATTCGAGGTCTTGAACCCCTTAAGCCCTGATCTACTCTGAATTGGTCTGATGTTGCTTGAAATTTTGCTAAGGACTCGGCTTTATAAATCCAAAATGTGTTTTAAAAGTTACAAATTCATTTCGTGTATGTGAGAGTGGAAATTATGCATCTGGCAGCATTGCAATCGCAGGATTTAAGCTTAATTTATTCTGATTCCTCTTTGCTTTGTACAAAATTAATTATATTTTTATTTAAACTACTAACCAAATATATACATGACTTGTAACACAGTTGATGTGAGGACGACTCAAACACACAGTTAAGTCGCCAACTTCTCTTTCCTCGCCTTCTGCTCAAGAGCATCGGATCTCAGGCGAGTGGAGAGCAGATGAGAAAACACCATGCGAAGGCGAATGGGAGCCAACTTCATAAAGAAGTACTGGAAGAAAATATATAAATATATAGATCTGCATAAATATTTCAGAGCTTACCTGTACGCTGTGTGTCCAGAAGCCATTGGTCTCGCTCGTCTTGCCCAGGGTAAAGACGGCAGATCGGGAATAGCTGGAGGCATTCGGGAAGATCAAACCGCCGTCCATGACACGATCGGAGTAGGCGTTCATCTTGGTGACCACAAAGCCGGGCAGCACCAGCTGTACGTCAATATTGTGGGAGGCTACCTCACGTTCTAGCGCCCTGGTGAAGTAGGTTATGAACGCCTTGCTGGCACCATAGGCAGTCAGATAGGGCAGTGGGGTAAGCTCCGAGGAGGAGCCCAGGTTGACGATGGCACCGCGGCGTGCGGCCTTCATTCTTGGCAGCAGCTTGCGGGTGAGCATCAACACAGATCCAATGTTGACAGTCATCAGGTTCCAGAGCAGATCCTCGCTCACTTCTTCATAGTTGTCGGGGTGCTCGTACATCATGCCCACATTGTTAACTGCAAGATACAGAGTGGGAAATTAATTTCCATGTTCAAGATCAATGTCAGGTCGTATCAGAAAATGCCTTGAAGCACGAACAAGGTTGTGTTTCTATCTGTATCTGTGCGTGTATCTATGCATCTTTTCCGCCAGACGCAATGAAAATGTAAATTGCTGAAGCGCGTCAAAGCGTTTATGAATTTTTGGCAACTAAAATTCCAACCACATCCAGCGATCCGATGTACTTGAACGCCGCCTAAGCAACTCCACTCTTCGTCTCGCCAATAGACCAAAAAAAGAGGCATTATAATTGCAAGCAATTATTATTATTATTATATGACATTGACAGAAACATAAAAAACCCGAGGGGGGGCAACAAAACAAACCCGAACACACACAAATAAAAAGCCACTCTGTTGATTGCCATTTGCTACTGTGGACAATGATGAAGCACTTGTCTGACCCAGTGCGACAGTGCCACTGCCTATGTACCCCGTACTCACCCAATATTCCCACTTCGATGCCGGCCAGCTCCTTCTCTATGTGCTCGTATATCTCGCGACCCTTGACAAAGTCCGCCACTATCCATTTGGTCTTTATTTTGTATTGGCTCTCTGTAATAAAAAAGTATGTAAATTATTTAGGCTGCAAGCATAGAGCTTGATTTGGTTTGAGCTTACCGATCTCATTGGTGACTGCAATCAGCTTCTCCTTGGTGCGAGAGACAAGCACCAGATTGAGGCCCTGACGAGCCAACTCTCTGGCATATTCCTTGCCAATGCCATCTGTGGCACCCGTAACGACTGTGAAGTGAAAGGCAAGGATGAGCGAAGGTTGTGTATAATGTTTGTTTGAGTAGTTTTCCGTGGGAAATGGTTGGTTATAAGCAAAGGAAAACAAAGAACGATCTCGCTGAAAGGTCACTAAGCATGACTTTTGACTTTAAGCACAACTGCAACTGCCTCTAAGAGACTCAAACGCTGGAAACGGAAGAATTTTAATTAAAGATCAATAATTTGGCAATTTTGACAAAATCTCTGTACAAAATCTCCAAAAAATTAGCATGTGTCTGCTAATTGGCTCGTTTTATTTTGGTTTGCTGTCTTTTAATGACTTTGCTTCACCAGTTGCCAGTTTACACCGAGACCAATGCTTGCCGGTGGTGGTTGTCGAAACCAATGCAAACATTATGAATGGTCACAATAGAAGTACTGGCAGAAGCGAAACCTGTTCGGTAGTGCCGGCTTCAGGCCGGCTTGGGTTACCAAATATTTGTGCAACGGAAACATGACCAGCAACATGCCATCGATTGTTGCGCTTGCGTGTTGAAAGATAATCGTGAATGGGGCAAGTTTGGCTTGCAGCTTGATTCGTGAATACTCAGCCTTTCGAGGCATGAAAATATTCATAATTCAATTAGGCTAAATATGCAGAATTCGCACAAGACGATCACGATCACCCACTGGGTGACCATTGAAGGTTAATTTTTAATTTAAAGCAATAAGCGCGGGAAAGCGACAGTCAAGTTAACATTCGTTCATGAAGAAGCACAAGACTGAAAGCGAAATCGTACAATAACAACAAACTTAACAATAAAGAAATGAACATATAAATGTGGAGGAAAAAATCGCAAACCGAAACCGGCTTTGAGTTTCGAGTTGAATGACTTTTGCTGCTCTATAAACTGAAATATCAACAAAGCTTTTGCAATTTGATTATACTATTAGCCAACTAAAGTAAAAGAAGTGTTTGACAAAATGGGAAACTTGATGCTACGGAAAAGTCTATTCATCAGGAAGAATCTATAAAAATATATGAAACTTTAGAGCCACGAAATTGAGAGTAACTTAATATCAAGGGAGATGTGAAGCTAAATGAAAACGAAAGTGAAAGAAATTAAAACTAACGCCTATTTATACGACATTAAAAGAAAATAACGTAGAGGATAATATTTGTTTATTTAATGCAAATATAAAAGCTTTAGAGTCAGTCACCAAAAGCAAGTTAATCGATCAATCTAATGGGGATAACGATGTGTGAAAATTTCACTATCTTATACTGACGAGAGAGACGAGACGTACATATAAATTACAAACGAACAGGAAGAGCGCTCTCTTCTATTAGGCTAATGATTTGAAAGAATAAAACTCACGAAATTCTTATTAAATGTGGGAATTGTGAGCTATTACAGAGATTGATTGAATGCAAACGCCATTTACATAATAATCAAGTATTAGGCATAAGCGTATGATTGGCCACAGAATGAGCTAATGATGTGTGATTTAGGAATTTTATAGATAATGTAAGCATAGTACATAGGAGTATGTATAGATTCAGCCCTCACTCTAGTCCTAGGGTAAACAATTTGCATTTCAAACAAATTCAACAAGCACAAGCAACGAAATCAAAATAAACTGTTGCCGTGGGTTCAAGCAAATATGCAAATATCGATGCAAATATATGCCTACATATGTACATGCATACTTATGCAGGAAGCGTGAAAGTTTTGCATCACTGATGATTATACAACTCACCTGCCCATTTGCCATACTTTTCGAGCAAAGTCTTTGGTAATTGGGGCTGGAAATACGGTTCCAGCACGGCCTTGATGATCCCCACCAATGATCTGAAGTTCTCGTAGAGGAAGGCGACAATCGTTAGAATCCCAACAGTGTAGATGAAGCCGGTGATAAGTTCCAAAATCGATGCCATTCTTAGCAGTTTGTATATTGTTGATTCCAGTACTGGCTGCATGGTTAAGAGAGTTCTCCTTTTATAGTAAAACGGGTAAGTCGGGTCGGTGATAACAGAAAGTGTGGATTGGATTGCAGTGGCTTGTGGAACGTATGCCTATCACTTGGCACTCTTTGGATTATATTGCTCTTATCTGTATAAATACAAAATCGGCGTCTCATTCGCGCACTCTGGACATTGCCTCTTTGCCGTGGCACAAGTTGTAACTTTGAGCGCGGATCACGCACTGAATGGATCCAACGCGGCTTCGTTCGTCGGACACCGATTGGAGCTTTAATTTTTCGGCTTTCGGGCCTCGGGCAACCAGTAACAATTGTAAAAAAAAAAGCGACTTACCACAGCGGCAGCAGCAGCGCAGTAAAAGAGCCACCAGACGACTGCAGTTTCTGCCTCTTTTGCATGGTTTTACACAGTTTTCGTCGGTTCATTATATCATAAACTTTTTTGTGGCTTTTACTGTTTTGCTGTCGAGTGCTTAGAGGTTGGTGTAAAGATTACGAAAATCCCCGCGTCTTCAAATTTAATTACCATGAGGGACAGCTGACCCAAAGACATCTGTCACTCGCTCTCCAACATGAGACTTTTCCACCATGGAAAATTGAAGCAATTTTCGGTTCATTTGCTAAGTGCATAATGAGCTTACTTGTGGCGTAGAACTAATTGAAAACAATTAAGCGACAGATGCCAGAAATTGTCCGCTGACATGCAATGACCCGTCTCCACCTGAGGCGGCTCTTTTTTTTTCTACATATTCCTATACTCGTACTCGTACTCGAGTACTCTATTTAATTAGCTTTTTTTTTGTGCGTGTCAAATGTGTCAATCTGCGTAAAGGGATCTGGAATAATTATAGGTTTTGGGGAAGTCTATGTCTGAAAATCTTGCTGTGCCCTTGAACGTTTCCTGATTTTTGTGGGTCATGTTTTAGGGAATGGATTATGGAACATTCTGTATCAATTGTTTACATAGCTCACATTTATTTATGTTCATTTACTTGTTTCACATAATCTTTTCGTGCATTCTGCTGGTCATTCTCTCATTCATTTAACCTTTCTCCTTTGTACTATCGTTTATCATTTCAATGCCACTGCAGTATTTATTTGTAGCTTATCAACCACGGAACCAAAGACACATTTCCCACAAACAACAACAAAGTACACACTAATATTTCAAAGTGCATTTTCAGTTGACGACACAACGGAAGGCTTCAATGGCTTTGATGAATATTAAATTAACTTTTACTTGACCGTTTACACTTTCCGGCTAGCAAAAAAAACACATTGGGAAGGCAAATATTGGTTGTAATTTGTGCAAATGTTGGGTTAATGTGTTTTGCAATTAAGTACATTTTGGGATTGTATCTCGAGATTTCGAGATTTTAGTGATCATTTGACAAGAAATGTTTATTTGCCATGTATTCAGTTGCTTTGCCGGTTTTTAACAGGAGAAATAAAAGTTACAGACAAAGTAACGTCATTATTTGTTGACTTATTTAATTTGTCGTTAATTTTTGACATGATTTTATTATTCACAATCTGTATCGACTCAGTCTTATGTATTTAGCACTCTCACTTGTTGTTTCCTTTCAAGCTGTGAGAGGCATTTCTCCAAAATGTTTAATGAAATATATGTACCAGAAGATACTTGTTTTTAAAACCTTAGATGCATTTTTCAAACTCACGTTCAAGGAACACAATGAATACAAATGTTGAACACCAAATGCAAAATCAATATTAGCGCGTCGCTGTCCCTGCCCTGCCGGTCTGGACAGCACTTTCTAGCAGAATGAATTCGCTGCTGGGCGGCAGGCGACGCGACGACGGGCCATAGCTAGTCGGGCTATGGGTTTCCATACTTATTGATTGAGGGAATGCGTGCTCACTTTTCAATGCTGATTTAAACAATTTTTTAATCACAAAGTCTAAGTTTTCACACCATCAACAGCTCCACCTGTCGCATTTGTATTCACTTATGTAGGTGTGAAGCGCCACCTAGCGTATTCTCGTTTTGCAGCTCGTGCCGACTTTCTGGTGATGGAACTTATGCGATAGATCAATCGATATAGCTATCGAACAACAAAATGCGCGCCACATTCAAACTCAATTTTTCCAAATACTCATTTGTAATATCAAGAAAAGATACATTATGCCTGGGAACAACTTGTGTGGTTGGTTGCTATTTGGTTTTTCTACTTCAGGCTTCTAAACATCTTGAGAGCAAAGAAACGACGAATTCGCCAGGTAACTGCCAGCATGACAGCAGTCTGCACATGATGCCAAAGATAACCAGGAGTCTCGTCCGCTCCATCCCGCAACTGGTTGACGGCACTGCGTGCATAGACATCTGCTGGAGGTATGAAGAGGCCGCCCTTCATGATGGCCCGCGAATACGAGTTGATTTTTGTGACCACAAAGTCAGGGGACAGCAGCTGGACATGGATGCCGTACGGGGCAGCCTCGCACTGCAGCGCCAGCGTGAAGCTGCGATTGTACGCCTTGGATGCGGCATAGTAGGCGCCATAGGGTAGCGGCTGGTGCTCTGTGCCCGAGCTGACATTCACGATGGCTCCCTTAATCTTTTCCGCCTTCATGCGCTGAAAGAAGTGACGCGACAACTGCGACACGGCCATTATGTTGGTCTCTATGATGTTCTGGGTGGACTCCTGTGTCCACTTGTAGATGGGTGCAGGATTACCAATTCCCACATTGTTGACTGTGGGAGACGACAGAGATTATGGTCATAGTCCTGATATGTTGATACTGTCTCTGCTTACCCAGAATGGCAATGGGCAAACTCGCCAATTCCTTTTCTATATGCTGATAGACCTCCGCTCCCTTGGTAAAGTCTGCTATCACAATTTTGGTCTGTACCTTGGACTCGCTTTCTGTGTGCAACAATTTTGGTAGAGTCATTCCAGAGTCGTTGACAATTATCAAGGAAAAACACTCACCAATTTCACTCACAACTGCCTGAAGTTTCTCCTGATTTCTGGCAATCAGAACCACATTGATTCCCTGCCGTGCCAGCTCCTTGGCGTACTCCTTGCCAATGCCATCGCTGCTGCCCGTGATGGCGGCCCATTCTCCAAACTTTTCTTTGAGCGAAGGCCGCTCCTTCTCATCGGTGAACCATCGAGCTTTTATCAGTCTGTAGGGCGTTCGCAGCTGCTCGTACAGATAACAAGTCAGTGCGTAGAAGCCCACAAAATTTAGGAACGTTGATACGGCGGCAAACATTTTAATTTTTACTAATGCTATTCTCCACGCACACTCGATCTAGTACTGTGCTGTGCGACTCCCTGCAATGGACTGTGATAGCGCTGCTATTTCGACGACACACCAAGGCAGGGGCTGAATTTAAATGGCATACATTAGCTGAGGTCCCAAGCAATCTAAAGGTGTTCGACTTGTTGTTAATTGTGCGAGCGGAGGAATATTTCTATTACGCTCTTTTTTTATGGAATTCCTAATCGTTTGGGGCGCCTCTTCGTGCCTGGTAATCGATTGATTATAGGCAGCTACGAGTATTGGTGGATTGTGGGTATAGCGAGGTTTGTTTGGGTCTTAGGTGCATTGCGCTTGGCATTTTTGGGCAAGGTCAGGGGTCTCAGAAAGGGAGCAGAGATGGGATCTCAAGGGTTCAAGCTGGGGAGACTTTTTCGAAAGGTGGTCATGAGTTCTGAGGGTAGGAGGCTTTAAGTATAACCAAGTTCATTCACCTTCTAATCCTGCCACTCCACCGCCCCTAGATGACATCACTTCTCTGTTGGACCCTTTGTTCATCTCCAAACCAAGCTAAAAATGCACTCCACACACACACATCACAATTACCGCCTGCCAACAGAGCGACGAATACTTAGCAGCGGCTTTCATAAATTAGGGGAAGAGCCCAGAACTCCCCATGGTATTCCACAAAACGCTAAGTACACACACACGCCCCCAAACCAGGCTCTAGACCAGCCAGGGACTAGGACTAGGACTAGGATGCAGGACACGGACTAAGAGGGTAAGGAAATCAGGAAACGGAAATTGCGATGCGAAGCTGTGAATCGAACTGCGGAACAAGAGCCACGACATGGGTTATACATATATCAAGCAAGCGTTTGTCGACACCCTGCTTGTGGGTGTGGGTTAATCGGATGGTTGAGACTTTTGTCTGCTGAAAAATATATTTTCTGCCATTTTTCCTCGTTTTTGGCTGCCGCAAAAACCGCATTTATTCAAGTGTCAAATAAATTCATAGTTTTTCGGCCCCCAAAAAATCGGGAGAAAGACGAGGGACACGGGGTAAGGCGAGGGCGTCGACTGTTGGCGTCGGCCAACTAATTAAGTCAAATGGGGCCATGCCAGAGGCTGAAAAACCCAAAAAAACCGCCAAAAACTCATTCGAACTAAATGGCAGCGACGGAAAGTATGCAACGATTTTTCGAGCATCGCGGCAACCGAAAGTATGCAGCAATTTTTGTAAATGTACATGTGTGTGATGTGCGTTTGTGTGTGTGTGTGTGTACGAGTGAGAGGGAACTTATGCTAATCACATTTAATTGCTTTTTAAGCGCACTTTCTGGCAGTTCAGCTAATTAATGTGACTCATACGCACTGTGATCCGCAAGGACTGTGTCCTGTCAGGCCTTAATTCACTGCGAGTGCAGTCTAGAGCTTAAATAAATAGCCAAGAATAACAAAAATATTGCATACGAATGGCGCCAGTTCGACCAGTTCTCCATGGCACATATGCCAAGATAAGAGCCTTGAAGGGCAGGCTGGGGTGTGGGTGTGGGCGCAGTCATTGTCAAAAAGTCAAACAATTTGAATTATGCTTTGCAATTTGTACATCCGCTTTGACTTCTTGGCCCAAAACAGTGTTCGGCCCCCTTCTGCTGCTCCTGCATTTGGCTCCAAGTCCTTGCTGCCTTTTTATATATGAGGGAAATTATTGTTTGCTTTGTTTTCCGAGTGCCGTTGGCTATTCTGTTGGCTTTTATATGTTTTACGATTACTATTTGAGCATTCACATGTAAAGCTCATTTTTACAACATTTTATTGTGGTTATTATTGCATTTGTGTCGTGGATGATGTGTGTGGGGGAAGCCAAAACGAAATGACTTGTGCAAAGTCAAGCTCTCATGAAGAGATCCGCTACAATTGCTAGAGCTCTGTGCAATACAATTTAAAGATACAATTCTTGCTAATATGAGAGTGATCTTCTATTATCTGCATTCTTGACAAGAAT